CCTCCGTCGACGTCCTCTCTCTCTCTCTCTCTCTCTCTCTCGCCTGTCGCTAATTTCCATCGCCACTCATTCCTGTACCGCGCCAAAAACTTCCATTTTCACTGTACGCGACGTCGACCGCGTCCTCTTCAAACACGTCAAATATGTAACACGTATGACGCGCGCAACGCATTGAAATTTGAATCGAAATTATATTACCGTGTCTATTACAGTGTGGATAAAGCTATTCCAGATAATTGAATTGTTTCCAAATCCGTGTAACACATGTACGAGAACTGCTAATCGTGAAACCTCGCAAATGTTGCAACGTATCTTAGGGAAACGATGAAGGCATGAGATGAGGCATTAAGAGGGGCCAGTATTTTTACAAGTATTTCTGAGATCGATACGAGAAGAATCGAGAAAGCTCGATTCGAAAGGACTACCTCTGGTAACTCGGGCGAGAATGGAGAAAAGCTGTCGAGATGTGTAAGAAAGAGGGATAGGGGGAGGGGGGAGAGAGAAGCATCGTCCAGCCTTTTTCCACCGGTCAACCCCCGATCAGTCCTCATCAGCCTGGTGACCCAGATCGAACGAGGAAAGACCCTCCTCGTTTGTTACGAGTATATAGATACATATATATATATATATATATACGTAACGGGCTTCGCACGCGTATTCCTCCACCGCAGCTGATCCCTTGACCTCGTGCAACCCCAAACGAAACGAGACCCCCTGGGCCTAACGTTCATTGACCACTCAGTTTCGGGGAGTTTTGATCTTCTTCCAAGGATTCCGCTTTTCCGATAGACGCTCTCCTTCTTCTTCCAAATCCTTGGCCATCCTTCTTCTTTCTATTTTCTTCGAATTTCACGAGATTCGATTGGAACGATATTCGTTGGCGATAATTCGTCTCGTCTCGTCTCGTCTTTTGCCGCGAATTTCAAGAAAAGAGGAAAAGATTTTCTTTCGAAATCTTTTCGGTGAAAACCCGGTCGAAGGGATAGCCGTTTCCATGGACGATAAAGCGATCGTATGCGGCGAAAAGGCGATCGATCGCGAGATCCAAGAGTCCCTCGTCCGGAGGAAGGTCGAGGATCGGTAGGGGACCGATGTTTGCCACGAACCAAACCACGTCCAATTAGTGGAATTAATACCGGTTGGCTTTGGGGGAGCTAATGCCTCTGTGTGCATACCTACGGGTATGCACGTCGATGACTGCACTTTCCTTCGTGCGTAATGAAGGACAATCCCGTCGGTTGGGCCGAGGCAGAGCCCGATGCATTCGCTCGTCCAAGCAACCGCTACCTCCTCTTGTTTTGCGGTCACGAGAAAATATCTCGAACCCACGAGATTACGACTTTGAGCGTGCCCCGGACTAACGGATCTTCGTGTCTTTCTCGGCCAACCCTCGAACCACGATTTATAATTCGCAATTCGTGTCGTCCTCTCTCGTCGTCGCGGAAAAAGAAATCGATACGAAAAACCTCCCTCCTCTCTCGTTCGAAAAAAAAGTTGTTCCAAAATTTTTCCCTGCCGCGTGAATCGCGCAAAATTAAGTACATTAAGCGTTTGTCGGGAGGAAAGGGGAAGGCGAAACGACGATCGCTGGACAGACGGATTTTCAGGCAAGTCGGGTGAGTATGATACGCATTGTTCGAGCGTTCACGGGAGTGCGGTTCGCTAGCAGCGTTCCTGTTACTGCTCATTGGCCACCCTGCACGGGAGAATTGCGCGAAGCGCAAGCAGAGAGAAACACGCTCTCTCTCTCTCTCTCTTTCTCTCTTCGTGCATAGCGTTGTTACGTAACCCTCGTCATTGTTTGCGCGTCGTCGTCGTCACAGAACTGTAACAGAGCGTACGGCAAAAAGGAGGGTAACGTGTAACGTTGGGATAAGAGAGGGAGAAAAAAGCGCGAATTTTTGTCGAAAGAGCATGCATAGAAGGAAGGTATTCCACGCCAACCAACCGGACACGCGTCAGAAGGACTTCACTGCACCGGAAGCGTCGCTCTTCTCCGTTTCTTTGTCCGAGCTTCTGCTGCGTTCCATGTATTTACCATAACCCGCGACACGGATTTTTGTCCAGCTTATTTTTTTATCCTCCGTTATCCTATCTCCATTAGTCGC